GCGTGACGTATTATTTCAGGATTCTTCCCTTTTATTTCGCTCGGTGATCCCGCCACTAACAACGCACTTCCTGTCCTTGGGTGACAACGCTCAGTTCTGCATTGTTACAACTAGGGATGCACCGATACCAGTATTTTGGTACCGAGTACCGGTAATTTTTTACCAATTACCGAGTACCGGAAGTCCCATTCAGGAAGTCAGGTGGAGTGTAATGACTCGCCACGCGGCTTCCCGATTAACAGGAAAGCCGTCCCAGCCCGTCCCCTCTCACCTCGGCGTGTCCAGCCTGTCACCCCCGGGGCCCTCTCCAGCCAGGAGCGGCCTTCCTCCGGTACCCAGCCGGAGCCGTCTTCCTGGCCAATCATGGAAGCCGGGCGCTGTGTAATGACGCGGCGCCCTGCTTTCTGATTGGCCGGCTCATTGTTCCCTCGTCATGAGATGACGAGGGAGCACGAAGCCGGCTTCCCGGCCAATCAGAATGCCGGGCTCTGCGTCATTACACGCTACCCGGCATCCTAAATGGCCGGGAAGTCGGCTCCATGCTCTCTCATCACAAGCGACGAGAGAGAGTTGAGCCGCTTCCCGACCAATCAGGAAACCGGGCAGAGTGTGATGACTCGCTACCCGGCTTCCTGATACAGGAAGTATTGGGCTAGGCATCGGCACCGATATGGATACTAGTATCGGTATCGGTGCATCACTAGTGTCAATAATTGTCACCCGGAGCCGTCACTTCAAACGTGTCTGCCTTTCTTCATCACCAGAACATCTGCAGTGATGGGATTAATAGTTTACACAAGAAAGATGACATTGTTTTTTAATGACAAGGACGCGGCATTTCTGGCGGGATCGTCAGGTGTTCTCTGTACACGCCGAGATGTTCCCAAGTCTGAATAAAGGAATGCAGCCGCCATCTCTGGGGACGGGTAACCTGCAATATGTCACATCTTTGTTTTCGGGTTTAGATACAATATAAAAACGAAGGTTACAATGATTCCTGCGGGCAAACGAGTCCAAGTTATCGGCAAGTTAAGTGATCGTGAGGCCGGGCATCTAGGATTCCATGGCCTCTGGTCATGAAAGGGTTAATCATCAATGGATCTCAACTCTGCCGGGGTGAGTGGAGTTCACCCCCTGACGTTAGGTTTCAGCCGTTGCTGGTGAGAGGTGTTCCGGTGATGTCATTGTCCTGGTGAGGTCATTGTTCTGGTGAGGTCATTGTTCTGGTGAGGTCATTGTTCCGGTGATGTCATTGTCCTGGTGAGGTCATTGTTCTGGTGAGGTCATTGTTCCGGTGATGTCATTGTCCTGGTGAGGTCATTGTTCTGGTGAGGTCATTGTTCTGGTGACGTCACTGCTCTGGTGAGGTCGCTGCTCTGGTGAGGTCGCTGCTCCGGTGAGGTCGCTGCCCTGGTGAGGCTGCTGCTCTGGTGAGGTCACTGCTCTGGTGAGGTCGCTACTCTGGTGACATCACTGCTCTGGTGACATCACTGCTCTGGTGAGGTCACTGCTCTGGTGAGGTCACTTCTCTGGTGAGGTCGCTGCTCCGGTTAGGCCGCTGCTCCGGTGAGGTCGCTGCTCCGGTGAGGTCACTGCTCTGGTGAGGTCACTGCTCTGGTGAGGTCACTGCTCTGGTGAGGTCGCTGCTCCGGTGAGGTCGCTGCTCCGGTGAGGTCGCTGCTCCGGTGAGGTCACTGCTCCGGTGAGGTCACTGCTCTGGTGAGGTCACTGCTCTGGTGAGGTCACTGCTCCGGTGAGGTCACTGCTCTGGTGAGGTCGCTGCTCCGGTGAGGTCACTGCTCTGGTGAGGTCGCTGCACCGTCTCTATTTAGGACAATGAGAGGCGAGTGGCGCGGTTCACTTACTGTCGGGAGCTGCCTCGACGACCATTGGACTTTGAGGAAGTTGACGTTGTCGATGCTTTGGCTGTCATTCTCGCTGCTCTTCTTATATTCTGCAATGCAAAAAAAAAACGCACCGCGTGCCGTCACGCCCGCGGAAAGTACAATTCTCAATGCAGACAAACACATCACAAAGGATCCACTTTACCTGTAAGGTGCAAACGTCTGCGCTTCCCCTCCCCCACTCCCCGCGTTCACCATGAATATACATCATACAGAATGGAGACAACACGTTACGTGGCACGCAGCGCTGAAGCTCCACGTCACTGCACCACTGCACCCCATGTTTTTATATTCCTAGCTGGCATCACCCCAATAGAGACATCTATAATAGGGAGTGCTATAGGCAGGGTGACAGGCGAAGGGGGTGTATAATCTATGGGAGGTATGGCAGCGAGCCCATCAGCATGGCGGCACTAGAAGGTAATAGGCACGGCACCCCTACCGCAGCGGAGGAGCCCAGGTTGGGGTGTGCAGAAGGGTCACCCTAACCCCGGGGGTGCAGTGAGGAAGGAGGGGGTGACACCTGGAGAGGCTGCTGTGCTGGTAGAGAGATGTAACATCCCGGGCTGGAAGGCTCTCAGCAGGTTATGGGGGCTCGGGGAGGTGTCAGGGGGTCCCGAATGTCTCCGCAATGGGGATGATGATGATGATGAGCAGCACTGAACCTCCTCAGGAGAGAGACAGGGACAGCCGCGACCTCTCTATCACCCCATTAAAATCCACCCCCCCTGCTACATACACAGAGAATGTGCAATATATATACCAATCATGTTTGGGTTTGCAGAGTAAACGACAAAGGCCAAACTGGAGGACTGGTGATCGGTATTACACCCACCGGGGGAGGGGCAACTCACCTTCCAGGCACCCCGAATAGAACTCGATGAAGAATTTGGTCCTGCTGGCGGTCTTCACGATGGCTTCGATGCTCTCGAACTCTATGTAGGCCTGATCCGACGGCTTCAGGAGACCTGCGTGGAAACAAGCGTAAGCTCACGGGGCAAGAGACAACTCCACCTGTAAGCAGTCGCGGAGCCTTCCGGATTCATCACCTTTCTTCGAGACGAACTGCGACGTCACGCCAACCTCGAACGACGCAAAGACGGGAGAGTGGTCGCTGGTCATGATGTCATCGGTGCAACCTGAAATGACGGGCGAGACTCCAAATTAGGCTCAGAACTCATAGAACACATGTACCCGGATATTACCTGAGAATGAGAGGCTACAGAGGAGAATTACCAAGAATGGCGCAAGGACGGGGCGGGGTGGAAGTACCATTAGCTCGATTCAGCCTCACAGCCGCCATCTTGTGGCCAGAAGCAGCACTGCTGCCGACAACTGCTCCAGTGACAACTATATAAGCAGAGCGTTCCCCTCACTTCTCACCTCCCCATAAACAATGTTACTTTGTATCTCTATCTCTCCTCTGATCAATGTTTATAAACAATGTTACTTTGTATCTCTCTATCTCCCTCTGATCAATGTTTATAAACAATGTTACTTTGTATCTCTCTCCCCCTCTGATCAATGTTTATAAACAATGTTACTTTGCATCTCTCTATCTCCCCTCTGATCAATGTCTATAAACAAATGTTACTTTGTATCTCTCTATCTCCCTCTGATCAATGTTTATAAACAAATGTTACTTTGTATCTCTCTATCTCCCTCAGATCAATGTTTATATACAATGTTACTTTATCTCTCTATCTCCCTCTGATCAATGTTTATAAACAATGTTACTTTGTATCTCTCT